ATAAATGAGTGAAAATAACTTAACTTTAATATATTAAACATTCAAATATTGCCCTCTTTAGATATTAGCCTGCGGTTAGTTTGGTCTGGATCTGCCACTGCCCCGTGATAATCGAGGAATACTGAGACTGAAGTAAAAGTGTAAGGAAGAGGGGAAAAATTAACATTTCTCTTTTTATATAAACTGTTTGAGGATGGAGGGATTTTCATCATCCTCACACTGCAGGAAGTGTCAGCAGACAGATTCATGATTTCATGTTTTTAATCTTGTGGTTAAAACGTGTCAAACACAAAGCTGCACGTCTCTGGATGTTGTGATCTGAAACTTTGTCATTTTCTACAAATGCATCAGCAGAAAATTTCAGTTACTTCACCCACAATAAAGACATCACACAGGTTAACTTCAGCCACAAACTAAAAGCAGGAGGAACAATTTCACTTTCACAACTGTGTTTGTAACACGCAGGCACTAAAGCAGTCGCGCCAGAATGTCGTGCTAAAAAGAAAGATTCTTTAAAATACAAGGGGGAGCAAGCGAGTCAGATACCAAGGGCACAGAGATGAAGCAGGTCTGATCAGAAACAGGTCATTTCCCGGCCAGAAAACACAAATAAAAACACCCTTAAAACGTAGGTAATAAAATGTTGTCAGTCTACTAAAGCTAAATGAAACAATTCTAAAACCTGTAAAACTACCATTTTCTACATTCACTAAAACCCCCTGATATAATTATGCCACATGTTCAATATGGGTCCACCAGCAGTCCAGGAAATCCTTCTTTAGAGCAGAGCCCACGCCAGCCTCGTCTTCAGCAGACGAGGAGGAGCCTCCTATCCTCTTGTGCTTCCACTGGCTCATCACATCCCTGCCCAGCTTGTGTTCTGCATCCGAGTCCATCCTGCGATGCCACCACAGCTCCCCTTGCGTCGGCGTCCTGTAAAATAACAAATAGGGGCCAGAACAATGGTCCCAGAAGCGGCCCTGGCTTATAGCCATGGTGACCCTCTCCCAACCCACTGCACCCAGTAAACAACAGTGGAGACCTTACAAATGCAGGCAGAGATATACCTCTGCCCTGCTGCCAATCACACGTGTTGTCTCCTACTGGCGCCATTCTTTGCTGTCAGGACTGGGTCGCCTCCTTCAGTGCTCAGCTAGCCTGCTTTTAAAAGGTTTTTACACAGCTGATAGGCCACCTCTGGACACACCCAGGCCTCAGCAGGTGGTCCCTATCAGCTAATTTATCCCATGTGCAGCCAGTCCACAGTGGATTAGAAGAATATTATGCAACATCACTAAAACACACAATATAAATGTCAGGATAAAACCATGCAAATAAAATCAACACTATGTACCAATACACTGTATGGTCCAAAACAACAAAACATAAAAACACAGTTTTCCACTGTGTGACATGTTTATGTAAAACGTGTTTGAGTTCTTCTGAGCAGACTGGTGATTTTAAAGGAACTGACTGTAAATGCATCACAGACGCATCTGTTTACATTAAAGTGCCCCCTGGTTGTGGTCATTTGAATAAAGTCTGATTTTTAACGAGAAGCTGATTAAACAGAGAAACTGAGTCTGAGCACCAGGTAAGTGCAGTGTGACTGTACCAAGATTACCCAGATGTTTTCACTGACACTGAATACCACAAAATATATGACCACAGATTTGTGTTTACAGTTTTTAAAATGTAATTATAGTAATATACACTGACTGGCCACTTTATTAAGTACACCTTCCCAGTATTGATTTTTGGTCTTTTTGCCTCCAGAAGTGTTTTAATGCTTCACAGCAGAGATTCAACAAGGTGCTGCAAACATTCCTCTAAGACTTTGGTTCATGTTGACGTGAGAGCATCACACAGCTGCTGCAGATTTATCAGCTGCACAGACATGATGTGAATCTCTCGTTCCAACACATTTGTTTGAGATGTGGAGACTGTGGAGGCGACCTGAGTACAGTGAACTCATCGTCATGTTCAAGAAACCAGCTGGAACGAAGCAAGTTTTTGTCACATTAATGGAAATAAAACATCCATACCAGTGTTATGTGATGTGTGAACCATCTGAATGAGGTTTCAGTGTTTCCATGTCTGCACATCAGAGCATGACTTACACGTCACATCAGTTAAATCCTTTGTTCTTTCTCTCTGTGGTCATAAACGACCAGGTTAACCAATTAAAAAATAAACATGTTTTACAGCATTTATAGCTGCTGTTGTGTTTATAAACTTTGTCACAGTTTATGGGATTCATTACGTATTCTTAATATTTATTGGCAAAATAAATTTGTAGTAAAATTTGTCTGACAACTGCAAGAAAAACAAAAACAAACATGAAAAACAAAACATGGATCACTTTGATTCCAGCTTCAGTTTTATTCAGGAAACAACAACAGTCATATCAAAAGGCACTTTATCTTTACAGTAGAAACATTAGAACCACAAAATTCTAAAAACTGAACCGAGTCAACAATTCAGAAAGATTCTGATGAAAAATTCACTTTTACAAAATAAATAATCATTCAAGATAAATAATCATCCCTCATAAAATCTTCTTTAGAAATAAATATATTAAAAACAGTGTGCTGTAACAGAGTTAAGACGTGTGGAGCGTGATGGTTGTTGTCTCATAGCAAGAAGGCTCTGATGACACCATCAGGTCGAGGTCTTTCTGTGTGGAGTTTGCAGGTCCTCCCGAGTCCTCAGGCTTCTTTCCAGAGTTAGGTTAATTGGTTTTAGTGCGAGTGGTTTTCTGTCTCTGTGTTAGACCCGCGACAGACTGGTGACCTGTCCAGGGTGTACCCAGTCTCTTGCCCTATGACAGCTGGGATAGGCTCCAGCGCCCCCCGTGACTCTGACAAGGCTAAGCGGAGGGCGCAGTACAGCACAGACTGGACAGACAATGAGGAGCTAAAGGTACAACTTCTTCTTTGGACAATTTGTATACAACTT